CTCGTAGTTACGCCGCTAAGCAGCTTTATGGACAAAACGAACAGTATGTTATACTCGGCAAGCTCCTCAAAAACCTGCGAGACCCGTCAGAGCAGGCGCCAAAGCGCGCAACGTACATGCGCGCATGGCACTGACAAAAAAAACCCGAAACCCTAAACCCTCAACCCTAAAAACAAACCCTAAACCCAGAACCTGTAAAAGAACCCGTGCAGGACCCCTTTAAGGAACCCTTAAAGGAAACCTTACGAGGCCTTTGTTCTTGCGGCTCCAGCGGCGCCCGTGCTGCCTGCGACCAGGTCGGCTGCTCCTTTAAGGGTTCATTCCAGGGTTCATGTGAGGGGTCTGTAAGGGTTCTACACGGATTAGTACAACAGTTCAGTTAGGGGTTTGGGGTTTTGGGGTTGAGAGGGTTTGTACCGGGTATGCCAGGATCTTTCTTGGTCAGGGTTTTTATAATGTGTTCATAGGGTTTATGTAGCCTTGTCTGAGGAGGTTTCTGCGTTTAGATGGATCTTGCAGGGTTGCCATAGCCTCATATGCAAGGGCTTGTAGTTCTTTTCTTTTCCGGTTTTGGAGGTCCTCATAGTCTTTATAGGCTTTTGTGCTGCTGATGATATTTGACTAAGTTTTGTAGGGTGTCATTGTAGGCTTTATACGCCGTTTAGCCGGTTTTACGAAGGAATTTTTTAAGAGTGTTTAAGTACGGCTTCGTAGGTATTTCTTAAAACACAAGATCGAGTTTTCACAGTAAGCGGTATCTGGGGTTGGGTGTTCACTGGTTTGGGGTTCAGGGCTCAGTCTGGGACTGTTAGGGGTCAGGGTGTGTAGGGTGTCTATCAACGAGGCCTGTGTCACTCTACACCTTCGGCTTCGGGGTTTAATGAAGCCGGAATGCGTCGACCCCAAATTTTTGAAGAACCCTTATAAAACCATAGAATACCAAGACTCTAAGCCCTAAGCCCTAAGCCCTAAGCCCTAAGCCCTAAGCCCTAAGCCCTAAACCCCAAACCCAATGTATGTCAACACCTGACCGGCCATTGTAAAATCTTCCCTGACAGAGCCCTTGTGTAAGGTCTGAGAGAAGCTCGAGCCCGGAGAGACATATACATCAGTTTTTAGGGTTTAGGGTTTAGGGTTCAGGGTTTTGGGTTTAGGGTTTAGGGTTTTGGGTTCAGGGCTTAGGACAGCCCCTCACAAAATTCACAGAATCCTTGGAAGCAAACCCTCATCAATCCTCGTAATTCCCTTGCAGTTCACTTCTAGGACCCCATGAAGTCCGTCGATGGCGCATGGAATCCTAAATCCCAAACCCTAAACCCTAAACCTAAAACTCTACAGGCATACGTTGCCCCTATAAGTCCTGAACCCGGAGCCCGGCCAAAGCCCTCATAGCCACCCTTTCTGTACGCCTCTACTCTCATGACATCCGACAAGCACCCGTACTTAAACCCCAAACCCTAAACCCTAAACCCCAAACCCTGAATCCTGAGCCGTAAACCCCATACCCTAAATCCTGAACCCTCGAACCCTAAACCCTAAGCCCTAAACCCCAAACCCTAAATCCTGAGCCCTCGAACCCCAAAACCCTAAATCTTGAACCTTAGAACCTGAACCCTAAACCCTAAACCCTAAATCCTGAACCCTCGAACCCTAAACCCTAAAGCCTAAACCCTGAACCCTCGAACCCTAAACCCTGAACTCTGAACCCTAAATCCTGAACCCTCGAACCCTAAATCCTGAACCCTCGAACCCTAGGAAAACCCTTCGCTGCAGGCTCGCCTCAAAGCCCGGGCGTGCAGTGCAGGCAGCCGAGCGAGGCCCTCCCTGCCGTAGGAGTAGGAGTACAGAGGGTTTAGGGTTTAGGGGTTCAGGGTTTAGGGTCTATAGGGGCCTTAATAATCAGAATAGGGTTTGGGGGGTTCCTTATTGTAAGTATGGGCCTAAATAATTACCAATACTATTTTGGGAGTTCCTAATTATAACCATGGTATAATATACCGCAAAACCCTAGGGTTGTTGTGGGTCTAGATTTTAGGGTTTCGGGTTCTACCGCTCAAGGGTTTGGGGTTTTGGATTTATGGGTTTAGGGTGTAGGGGGCTTATCAAATCAAAGTTGCTATTCCTCAGATTTCCTTCATATTGTTCTATTCTAAGGTACCCCTACAGCCCCATGCTAGGTGCCAAGGCCACATAAAGTTTAGGGCTAGGGTCTGGGGTTCACGGTTTAGGGTATTCGTAGACGTGGTGGCTGGAAGGGGTCTCCTAAGGTTGTATGAAGGTTCAAAACGGGTTTCATAATGTCACAAAAAAAGGGCGGAGATAAACTCCAAATAATGAGCTAAGCCCTCGAAAAACCTCGACCTCAGAACTTCAAAGCCCTC